AAAAAGACAGAAATAGTTGTCCTCAAAGTGTACAATCCAGCATCGACTGCAACTAGCATTAATACACTTACAGCTGACATGTTCCACAGAGTTGGAGACCTAGAGGAACTCCCACCACACAACTTCTACTCAGATGTCAGCACCAGTGCATCGCGTGGTGTTCTGCACCCAAAGGAAAGGCTGACATTCCACCACCAGAAGGGTATAGGAAGTCGTCCACTGAGAACCCATCCCAATGACCCAGAAACGAATGCCAGCACTGTGTCTAGAATTGCTCACCTGTAAATGCACAACAGGCAGATGCTCCTCATCCAGGAGTAGTTGCGCCAAGAACATCATGGGATGTTCCCTTGGATGCAGTTGTGCTATGTCATGCCTAAACAGAAACAACTTAACTACCTCTCCAGATGAGATGGACTCTGACGGTGACTAGAGATGACTTTATTTTACATTTTACTTTTAATGCTTCATAATACTAGAAGTATTCTCATGTTTGTTTCTTCACTAATATTATAAACAAGTGAAATGCTCAGACAAAAGTGTAGTATATCTACAATTTTGAGTGAAACGATGTCCATTTAAATTTAAATCTAAATTTGGGTAAAGTCGCGAGAAATTAGCTTTCAATATTTCCTTTTTTCATTGTTGGGGATCAGTTTACCACAGAAGTCAGTTAATATTGTATATCATTGAAAAGACAATGAAAAAAGCTTTCATATGATATATTACATGACCATGTTGAAGAACTATATAAGATCTTGATTTTGAAAACAGGTAAAAATGGCGGCCATCTTGAAATTCAAGATGGCCACCATAACTGCTCACGGAAAAACTTGAAACATCATTTTTCTTTATGAGTTTACTATTTTGGTGTTTTTAAGCATTGTTGCAATTACCCCACTCATCCACTACAGCAACATCATCTACCACCATATCTCAAAAGCAATTTTCGTCGAATTTGTTTTTTGGGGGGTGGGGTAACATTGTATACAATATCTCAACCCCTATGTCATATATTTTCATTTTGTTCTTTGCATAGGATAGTACAATGGTTAAGGCAGATTTTAACACCCAGTTATAGTGGTTTTATTGTCCCAATTCAATGGAATTAGTGTTTTACCTACTCACAAGATTTGAAAATGAAGTAAAAAAACATGATTTTTACCAATGTTTCGACTGAGAATCAGAAGAACAGTTAAATGAAACAAAATGTTTGCCAAATTCAGATAACCGAACATATTACCTGTAATCAAAGACATAATTTGGATAGTTTAATGACTTAATAAAAATGTTACAGCCAATTTTGTTAAATTATGCATTTTTCCTTCAATTTATGCAATTTTGATCCCCTGAAAATTCCTGCACACACTTGCAAGCTTACTACCCAATGAAAATTGTGTACAGATACCTCCTTTATGCAATAGAAAAGGTTTAAGGTATACAGGAAAATGTGGGAACGAAAATCTTGTTTTTCACCCCTTTGCCAACTGACTATAAAGTGTAAATAGAAAGTATGCCAGTGTTTGGTATCTGTAAAATCCACTGATTAATGTTTATCAAAAGCACATTTGGATGAAAGTTCCTTTCCACAGCGTTTGCTTTATTATTTCCGTCACAGTATCGGAAGCCGTCCTCTGATGTCAGTCGTAACACAAGACAAGTAATCTGTCATCTTTGAAATAATGACACGACTTACTGTAAGTAGACCCCTTTTTAGCAGCCCTCTTTGAAATGTAACTTAGTATGACAAATGTATGCATGAAGCTACCGTTTTCAGGGGCATGAGAATTCGAATATCAGCATTATGTAAATGCTTGGCGGTTTCAAGAAAATGCGACCACAATGATATGTTTCAGAGCAATGTTTGCGTGGCAACGATATGTTCTCTTTTCACACATATACTCAGCATAAGAAGGTAACATGATATATAAATGCCTTTACTGAATAATATTGTCTTGTTTTTGTCTTTGTTAACAGATGAAGCTGTCGATTGGCCTTGGAACCTTAAAATTATTCTTTATCATGAGCAGCACGAGTTTAAACTACTGTGAGTTTCTCAGTGTCTGAAATTCATACTTAAGATATAATATATTCGTAGGCTTTATCATGTCCATGAATGGAGGTCATTAATGAGCTTGAAAACATGATTCTGATTGCTCAATCAGAGGTACCAAATCACTATACCTACATCTGTTTGAAACATCCTATGTAGACGACGGTGTCATCGCGGAAGCTAATATTTACAGAAAAAAAGTGTCTCTTCACTGAAAGCACGGTGTGTTTATCACCTCGCTGTGCACTCCAACACAATATACATATATTTGTCACGCAAGTTTTTATACTTAAACATGTGACACATATTAACTCCGGAAATGAGTCAAATAATGCGCGATGTGGTGATGGACAAGTATGACATTCGGCAACTCATCCTTCTGTTGCAGACACCACACCAGAGTTTATCTGCCCTGACGTATCCTACATCGAGGAATCTGCTCTGATGAATTGTTCGACGTCGACACCTTACACCGCTCTTCAATACACTGGTCCACGTTCAACTCCTGGTCCACAGTGTATAGCATCATTACAGTTGTGTACACCTATAGGAGGATATAATGCAAGTATCATCAACCAAACCCACAGTAGCCTCCGTATACTGACCGTTGAACCACATCACGCAGGACAGTGGACATGTGCTGATATTCCAAATGGTCCTCTTGCATCCTGCGATGTTGTCATTACAAGTAAGTGTAATGCTGATGTTGACTTCTTGAAATAAAAAAAAATTAAATTATAGATAAAAATGTCTTTATGACAAATAATATATAAAATATGTATATATCCAGTATGACAATACAATCCTTCATCATGCAACACTTGCAGCAATATATTTAATAAATGACTCTGATTTTAGTCTGTTTTTATTCTATGTCGCTTTCACTGTTTATTTAATGATATATTTGACAAAGTAGGTTTTTCCACTGAGTATAGTGATAAACTTGCATTATTGCCACTTGGGAGGATCGGTCATATACGCATTGTCTGTGGGTTTCGAGCTGTTGTTAGTTATTTTATTAAACCATGCATTTTACAGTACTGTCGAAGGTTGAAAATCAACCATTCCAGAGGAAAACATTCTGTTCTAAACAAAATTTATCCGTGTCCGGAAATGCAAAAGTATTTTGCAATAGCCCAAGACATGTCTACCTTTTTACATATTTGTATGTAACTTCAAACACATCTGTCCGAAACAGTTCAGTAAGAACTGTATGTAGGACACTATCCTCTCATATGAGTGGGACATGTCAAATTCCTTAATATCCCCTCGATTGTTCAAAGTTTGGCCGAACTGACTTAACTTAACATAGCAGTACAGCTGCCTCGAAAACTATGTTACAATACGTGCAACCTGTGGGCGGGCATTTTCTGCTGCAGTTAGACGTTACATCCCAGCATTTGCACATAGGGTAGAACATCATCTTGAGCGATTTCGTTCCGGGAGCACATGCCTTTCAAATTGCCTTTAAGAATAATGTAAACGTTGCCTTTTTAGCAAGCCGTGGTAAAGAAAAGTGTTTTTATTAGCATCTGGTAGATAAGCTAACATTCAAGAACCACTTGTGTCAGAAACATGCACCAACCAAACAAGTAAATATCTAAATTGAGCGCCGTACATGAACTTGCAAATTGTAAATGAGGCTAGGTGTGCATGACAGTGACTGCTTTCAACGCATGAATTTTCCGAGCTGTTAATGCGTATAGATTCCGTAGATGCGCCAAAATGGTTGTCTTAATGATATGACGTCACATGCGGGCGATCAGCCCATGACAAGTTATGAGTGTTGCCTGTTTAGCAAACCGTTGTATTGCTTAGTGTTATAAAATGTTAAACAATAGTGCTTTATTAGCAACTGATAGCTAAACAATAATTGTGTTCACATTCAGGAACCGCTTGTGTGAGAAACATTTCCCAACTAAACACGTACACATCTAAATTGCGCACGTGCAAATTGTAAATCAGGTTTTTAATGTCATCATGAATATGTATGGTGAGATGAAATAATTCAATTAAAAAAACAGTTTTATTTTTATTGAACTTTATCTGAAGCGCAGCTACTTTAATCCGTTAGTATTTAACAGTCAACGACATATTTGTTTTGAATTGTTTGTGTGACAATGTCCAACGCCCAAAGAAATAATGGCAATAACTACATAACTTGCAAATACCACTCATGAAAATCGACGGTACAACTAATATGAAGAAAGTACAGAGCACAAAGCTGATGTACCTGTATCTATCATTTGGCTATGCAATGTATGCAATTATAATGATATCGGTCAAATCGATTTCAGCGAACTATTTCGGGTTTTAACATGTTCTTATTCAAAGAGTAATTTATTGTTTCAGAGACACCAACGTGCAGCATTAACAGTACTGAGGACACAGATGTACTTGCCCTGTATCAGGAGCTGTCACTCACAGTGGACATACGGGACTACTTCTGTTCTGCAGCTTTTAACTTCTCACTACAGACTGGGAACGTGTCAACACTACTGCTGGGAGCTGAACATGTAGCTAATGTCACTGACAACATCACTGCAGTGACCCTCAATGTGACGAAATCCCACCTCGGAATTGTAGGCTTGATATTCAGCTGTCACACCAAACAGCGGAATACAACTTGCGATGGCGTGACGGAACTCAGTAAGTATTTTACGTGATTTAAAAACCCAAATAATCGTCTTAGCAGGCTGAAAATGGTACAGATCATCTCCACACTTACAGCTATAGCACAATGTAACGAATTGATGAAGCCTATTTCGAGTCAGTTGAAGTCAGTTTCTTTCAAGACGTGTCTTCTTTATAAATGTGAATGCTGTCTTTATAACAACAGCTATTGTGAAATTGTCCTCGTTGCACACCACTCAAATGTATATAATAACATATTCATTTCTGACATCGACCTTTCCACCATCTGACGGATAGTTACATCTGATTTCAGAGACTCCAACCTGCAGCATATCAAGTGACAAGGACACTGACAGACTTGACCTGAATGAAGAGCTGACTCTCTCAGTGGACATTATTGGCTACAACTGTCCTGTAGCATCCCACTTCACTCTACAGACAGGGAACGTCCAACAATTACTGGATGGCAGTGATGCCGAGGCTGGTTTTGATCGTGCAGCACAAACGTTTAATGTGACCGAAACACACCTGGGTGGTGTGAGGCTGATATTCAACTGTCAACACAGACACTGGAATCTGACCTGCGATGGCATAACGGATCTCCGTGAGAGTAAGTATTTCTTGATTTTCGACTTGGCTGAGATATGAACGGCTATTACGTCTAGATGTTTTCTGTGTATGACTCACAAGCACCTGGTATCATCACGATATATTTGTGATTCATAACCACATGTTTTTAATATAATCGGAATCGTTCATTGAACTTTTATTATATTTAATTTGATTATGGAAAGGATTTTGTCGTTTTATTGCCAGTGTTGTAACTCCACATCTGTTTTTCTTTTACAAATGTGCATACATATATATAATATTAATGTCCGAATACCAATGGACTGACAAACACCATACCAACTGGTTTGTCTGAAGTGGTAAACTACTTCCAGTGTTCTAGACTGAATAAATACTGGACAAACTATGTATCAGTATTTAGTGGTGTTTATTTGCCTGTTGGTCGGTTGTCCACTTAACATTATCCCAGTGTCTCCCCAGAGTACACAGTGTTTCTTAATAACTTTGATGTTGGGGATGTGATTATGTTTGTTTGTCTGCTGTTTAACACTGCACCCAGCAATATTCTAGTTATATCGCGACAGTCTGTAAATAATCGTATCTTGCCAAACAGTTAAGTGATTGACAACATCGATCTACACAACTGGAAAAAGATGGCACACAACAACCAAGTCAGTGAGCCTGACCAGTGGCCACTCACCACACGAATGGGTTGCTAAAGAGCAATTCGAAACCGGATCTTCACTGGGGTAGTTTGATTTCAATCCATGTCAAAATGTCAATGGTTATACGACAGGGACATATAATTAAAACACGAACGTTACATTGTCTACATCAGTATATCGTCAATGTCTACTTTGGTGTTCCGGTAAACACTACTGTTGTGCGAGTACTCGCATATTGTCAATGTATTCGTTGTGTATGCTATAGAAATGACAGTTCAATCCAAACAAAACGCGCAACCTGCATGAGATGGACCCGTGCCCCAATTCCTGCATATGGCGGCGGCTGGGTAGCGGTGATTTATACCCCGTACAAGAGAAATAGAAAGCGATTAAGGGTATTGTAATCTGACGTCTAACAGTCGCCAACACGCGGGATTTTCATTCTCCATGTTAACATGCTGTTACGGTCATTAGTCAAGGCGACAGTATGCCCATGCAGTTTGGCTTTGTGTCTGTTTTTAACAAATGCAACTTGTGTTCTGTTATTTAAGGAAGAGTATCTAACTATGACTTAAACGCCTTTATAACATTGCAGAAATCAAAACAAGTGATGTCCTAGCCACAGCCTCCACTCCAGTTATTGCTGCCTGCGTTGTTGGTGCGATAGTGTTTCTCATCATCGTCGTCCTCATCGTGTTTCTCATCAAAAGAAAACAGGTAACTCAAATAAAACCACAGCCATCACTTAAGCCTTCTTCCCCTCCGTACATAACTGTAGGGACGCCCGGAAGTTCAGCTTATGCTACCGTGGAGCTGAATGATGCTCCAAGTGGATCAAAGAACATAACTGTAATAGATGCAGGAGGTTATGCGTGCGCAGGGGACTTCGTCAACAATGCTGACACCAGATCAAGTTCCCTAACGAAGGATGGATCACACGAGTTATCGATGGCAAAAACATCCACAGACAATCCTAAGAATGACCTAGGTGTAGTCGTACAGCACATTGTTCCCGAGGAAAATAGAAGTCAAATCAATGAGCTCTATGCCTCTATTAACAAAACGAAGGATATGACAGTGCATAATGATGACACAGCAATCTGATAAGTTGTTATATATTTGGTGGATATGTGAATAGCCTTATCATATTTTCTGCTGTTTTCTGAAGTTTTTGTTTCAAGTTCGTTCATATTTAAACTGATTTTCCGTTAACATGTGCGGAACCATCCCAAGAGATCATTCATTTTCTCGTTAACAAATCACAGTCCTGGAACAATTTGCGTCTAATATTTTACACGCAGAGTTACCAGAGTGTAGGAATAGGCATTATCTAGGATTCGAATCCACCACCTTGTCAGGCATAAGTTGCCGAGATTTCTTAAAGCAAGTCAACAAAGCATCAATCTATGCGTAAGTCTGTCAACTTAACTTCAAATAAGATCATGTCTTACTGATCAAGTTAGCCATGAACAAGTTGCATTCATGACCTGGGTATATGCTATTCATGACAAACGTCTGTTCATTTTGATCTTTGTAATATAAGTTAACCTGTGTCATTTATTTTTTTAAATAAGTAGTTAATCTGTGCATACTATGCCATTATCCGTTCATGTTAATTATGTTTGGATGTTTAACTTAAGAGATCTATATCTGAGATGACATAGCCACAATCAATGTCTGCTTGTACCCTGCAAGCAATGGCTGGCTTACCTGATTAAAAGCGGGAGTGTGGTTAAAGCGACCGATTTTTCTTGTGAAGTTCATGGCTAAAACTGGCGTAAATGGAAATTCACTGATTAATTCACTCAACCATGTCACTTCATCTATATTTCAACGTACCAGTAAACAGGTTGATAGACATACAAACAGTTCTCAAACTCTTCCCACACTATGTTATCTTAGATGGAGATTGATAAAAATGTTTATTCCATTTATTCAGCAACTACCCAAAAGCGGAAACCATCACACTCATTAAACTACGTCAGTCCTGAATGTAACTTAGTACGAGTATTGCTCAATGTACAATTAGCAATACCGATCCAAATATGAAAGAAGAAAAAAGAATTATGTTTTCATAACATCAATAATTTACCCGTGGGGAATCACCATAATGTGTTGTAGGAAGGAGAGATGTTATAGATAGGATGTTTTCTATAAAATGAGGAGCTGAACACTTAAATATCCCTTCACAACACATTTCATTCATTTTTTCAAACATGCCCAGCAAGCAATAAATCATTGTATGTCAATATTGAGGACTTTTATTGGACATCCCTGATAACATCACCATAACATACTGTTATCAGAGGATCAACATCTCCCTCTTGGTAAAATGACACATCATATCCTTGTCATATATTCTGGCTTATATGACTGTGCCAAATTAATGAATCGTATCGCTCCTGTTGTGTACGGTGTACGTATATGGATATTCATGTCCTGTGTGACCCGTGAAGATCCGGGGTAGAATAGGTCTTCAGCAACCCATGCTTGCCGTAAAAGGTGACTATGCTTGTCGTAAAAGGCGACTAACGGGATCGGGTGGTCAGGCCTCGCTGACTTGGTTGATTCATGTCATCGATCCCAATTGCGTGGATTTATGGTCAGGCTATTAATCACTGGATTGTCCGTAAACACTCGATTATTTACAGACCGCCGTCATATAGCTAGACTATTGCTGATCGCGGCGTAAAACAACAAACCAACCAACCAACATGTCCTGTGTTGACAGGCTACAAATACATTTGTCATACCTCCGTTTGATAAAATACCGTGTTTCCCGACTTGGATGGAAATATATTTCTCAGCGGGAGAATAAATCTCTTATACCACGCCGCGAGCAAGACAGGCTGCATGTGGATTTCTGAGAGGCTGAATAAATCCCTTATACCCCGCTTCGAAGCAAGAAACTCCTTTTCGAATCAGTATGTTAATACATGTCGGTAACATACATTCATTGAAGCAGTATCACTCGGAGTAATTTTGCTAAACTTATCATTATAATTAAAAAAATGGAATTACGTTTCCTTAACAAACAAAGAGACACCCGTTGGGATTCCAATTGTTTACCTTCGTATCCCGAACCTGGGTTACTTGTTCTGGACCTAGGTGGCCTTGGATCTGCTTTACACATAGGGTATGTGTGGGTGGTGAGGTGAAATGAGGTTTAACGTCTCGTGTGTGTGTGTGTGTCTGTGTGCGTGGCTGTTTGCACTAGTCCGGACGAATGCCGAGATAAATGCCGAGCCCACTGAGATACCAAGCCGCAGTTTGACATGAAAACCCAAACCAGATACAATATACTGACCCCGAGCCGACCAGTGCTTGTTTTAGGCCCCAAATGCCGCGCTCGAGGTAGCATAACAAAAAGGACCATATTTGACGTATTTTGGTAAGGCATTATGGGACTGAAACAAGGATTTGTTGGCTCTGAGTCTGTACGCTGTGTCTTAGTTGGGTAAACTGTGGCATGGTAACTCAGTGTTCTATTACTATAAATCGGCATCAGTCGGGACTAGCACAAGCAGCACACACAAACACACACAAACACACACAAACACACACACATACATGCACGTCGCTATTTAAGTGCAATAATCTTGGACGCGACGTTAAACCCCATTTCACCTCACCTCACCTTTTGGTATGACGCCATCCGTGATCCATGACCTTCCGCTCTCCGGGCTGACGCTCTATCCACTGCACCACTGAGGTTGTGCAAGGAGGAACCAACCAATTCAAATTCGTTTTAGTTGTTGTTTTTTTCATTCTATTTTCTGGAACAAATTATGTGTTTCAAAATTGGCCCTAGAGAGAGACATTATTATTTCCACCTATCATAGCTCTCCTTGTGTAGTCTCGGTAGAATATCGTCGCGGCAATCTACAGCTTGTCAATAGAGTCGACTAAATAGGTCGGTGGTCAGCTTCTTGGGCTTGTCTTATTATGTACCTCGATGATGTGGGACAACGTCCATTCCTTCTGTATGGGGTTGGCTTGGCCAATTCTAGATTATTTTAACCCCGTGGTTTTGCTGTGATATTAATGAATGTGGCGTAAAATAGGAAATACTCAAAATATATTGCTTTACTAAATACTTACTACTGTAAACAATTGAATTCCAGAAGGAGACGAAAGAATCGGAAAACTGGGTCTGGATGTCAAACACACATTATTAACCTAAGTACCACTGCTTCCGTATCACTGCCTCGCCTGTGCTGCAAAAAGATGTTTTTTCTTTGCAGAATCCTTAGAGAGATAGGACATGGAATTGCATATAGACGCAGTTTGGTAAATTTCCTTGTGTGTGTTCGCATGATATAGCTTGTATATATACATAGCTGATCGTGTGTTTTAGGGAAATGTCCACCCCTTGTCTGCAATATGATCACTTTTTCAGCCTCTTTATACAAACAGACGTTCAAAAGAAACTATACCAAGAAACGTTATCTCATATTCCTTTATATTTTGGAGAATGGAAATTACTGCTGCTTAAATATTTCGCCCAAATACAACAAAATGTATCTGAAGACTTAAAGTGTTATTTAGCACCAAACAAGACGAGCATTGTGCCGTAATGACGTATGTACACGTAGCACGGAATGCATGTGCTAAACTGGTATACAAATCAGATGATACCATCCGATCGCAGTAACCAAAAGAGAACAGAAAATAATGCCTCGTTTGTAAGCAGCACAGAGAGAGAGGCCTTGGTATGGCCAAGCTTCAGACTACGCATGACAAGATTGCAAGGACTTCCGGGTGTACCAATGCTTCCGTAAGCAGGTTGATGAAACGTCCACAGCACTTTTTACCAATAGAGAGCAGAGAGCAGACACGCATATGAGTGGAAGGGTGCATGTTAACAAGCCCAGTCAACGCTGTCACTTGCGTGTTGTACATCTCGGAAACAGTTTCATTCCCCGACGACATCTGCATCGACGAGTCTCGGACATCGTTTAAGTCGACAGTGTCTTCCCCAACACTGACGTTGGCAGTTTTGGGACTGGGGACGATGCTGATTTTCTGAAGAGGGCATGTTTGCAGGGATCATAGTGACAGGCCCATCTTAAGGCCAGACCAGACTTGGAGCGATCTCTTCTTTGTGAATGGGAACAGAGACCCGCGACGACGTATTGTGCCGTGCACTGATCCATGATGCACGATGTGGACATAAGCGCTGATATATATTTTATTATAAATCCAAAGTTTACTGCCTTTGCAGAGCCTTAACATACTGTCGGTGGACATTGTGGCTCGTCGCATTTGCCCTACCTGTGTCTTGGGTCACTGTCACTTGAAGTGTTTCGGCGTTTTTTTGTGGCTTTTTTTCACCAAACGGAAACGCACCACTGTTATTAATGTGTTGATATATTTTGAACATGCGGCATGTTTAGGATGTTCGTCAATGGTTAATCGAAGTAATGGTATAGTTTATTGTGGACGTCAGTGTATATAGAGTATGTAATCCAATGCTTTCTCTGTTCGTGATGATTAATGTTTCCCTGCCTTTGACATGCCTTATCTCTGAAATGCGCATTCTACTTGTCTTGGTTATCGATTGGAGGTTCTTTGCTATTTTACATATTTAATTTAGAATCCTATCTAAATTTATTTGTTCTTAAGGTAACTGGTAAAAAGGAATATCAGTGTAGGTAAAACACACCTGGAATTGTATGGGGTATAATATTTACAATCTTCAACATCAGTTATTGGTCGAAAGTGTAAATGTTGTCGGGTTTAAAGAATCGATAAGTGCAAGTTTAGATTCCAGTTATAGAGGTCGGTCGACAACTGCCTGATAGCATGCAGGTCCTTTTACCTGTGGATCTGCATTTTCCTCCAGGTACGATAACATGGTATATGCTGCTCATAGCTTCCGGCTAACTTGGCTTTGCCATGTCAAATTTTTTTTCTGTTGTGTATATGTGTGTAAATGATTAAATAATGGAATTAGTTTTGCGAACTGAGACCCCTTTGGAAGTCCCGTTTAAAGTTAGGTCCAAGCAACCTATATTGGAGGAAGGAGGCTACTTAATGAATTGTGTGGTCAGGCTGGTTGACGTAGTTGATGATTTACCTCGAAGGGGTGGGTTGCTGAGTCTCATATCGATCACTGAATTATCCTTTCCAGACTCTGTTATAAGTTGTTTTTGCTTGTTTGTTTGTTGTTTAGCGTCGCACTCAGTAATAGTCCAGCTATATGACGGTGGTCTGTAAATAAGCGAGCCTGGACCAGACATTCAAGTGACTGATACCATGAGCATCGATCTACGCAATTGTGATTCGATGACATGTATCAACCAAGTCAAGGAGTCTTACCACCCGATACCGTTAGTCGCCTTTTACGACAAGCATTGTGGCCTTTTACGGCAAGCATTGCAATTGGTTGCTGAACCTATTTAACCCTCATCGTCACGGGGCCGATAAGAAGGCGGATGTCCTGTTGCTGAAATGTTGCTGAGTGCGGCGTAATGCAAAAACAAATATGAGATATCAAATGAAATAATACACGTGACACTGCACTTCACTTCTTTCATTTATTTTTTTTTTCGCTTTTTTTATATCGCACTTTACTTTAAACTTTAATGGTTACGTTAGAAGGTAAAACTATGTTTTGAAGATAAGACGTGTCCATGGTCAGTGGAAAGAGCGTCTGATCAGAAACCGGAAGGGCGTTAGTTCGATCTATGAAAAAAAGAGGCATGCAGTTAATCTGCCTGGCCCTCTGCATTAAGGGGATATGTCAAGGACTCTCCGGTTCCACCACATTTCACCTCACCGCACCTTTTTTGAAGATTCTATTTTATTTTTTGGGAGGACAGATTCACATACTGCATATTATATGACCCATGATTACATCATATAGTGGATTAAAGGTAAAAGAAATTTGCAATAAATATAGTTGATCGGTCAACGTTGTAAATGATCATTTATCAGGAATATTAAGTTTGAAATCAGGACTGATAATATGTAAAGTTATGTTCAAGCATAGAATGCAATGTTACTTGACAGTTGTGAAGAAATCAATAATTGAACGTTGTTATATTCTGTTTTTGAAACGATGAAATAATTATGTATCATTCAATCAGTCATAGACATAATTAAGACTGAAATAATAGAATCATAAGAAAATATAAGTTCTAATGCTGGGATTGGGAGTGGCAGCTGGGTGAGTGAGTATTTCTACTGGAGGGATTGGGTGCCTTCCTTGCCAAGTATAAAGTTTAATTCATTGAAGCGGTTTGTACCCGTATGTGTTCTCTAAGGATGATACCAGTGGCAACTTTATTTTTTTGCCACTCCAGCCCTCGAGTGCAATATGGATTTCTAATATTCTTTTATAGACATATAGTATATAACCACTACCTTTTATGAATAATCACTTTTATTTTGTTCTGTTATGTTTTTTTTTCCTAATGCACATGCATGATACAACCTTGTGTTCACGTCAGTTTACAGGTTTACAATCATAGTGATAATCTTGTAGAAATAACATGTTAAATGGTTTTATTCCTACAACTTAATAACAATTGAATAACAAATTCTCGTTTCGTCTATGCTTCATAAATTCAGGTGCTTTTCCCTGATCAACCTAGGTATTCTTTAAACTTTTAACGTTGTGTGGAACTGAATTATGTTTTTGTTTTTTAGGATATGATACACTTTGTTAAAAACATGTAAAGAAAGAGATAACCATATGCATTGAACTGATTTGATCATTTCTTAAACACATACTAGTTGATTTGTGAATCTAAGCAAACTTCGTCATCAACATAACTGTATCACAATGCATTGCCATATTATTTCTTCAAATGTTAAGCATTGATATGACTAAATTGTACATGATTTTGCAAATGCCATATTTACTTTTTTGTATAAAATAAATTGATGTTCTTTGGTTTTATGTCTAGCTTCCTTTTTAGAGTTAACGTCGGTATTATGTTCTCGCTAATGACATGTTTGGGTGTATGAGTATCGATGAAGTCGGTAAATGGCAACGGAAAGAGTTCAAGTAATATTAAAACCGAGTTTGGTGTACTTCCTCGTTCTCGATATAGCAGCTCACACACAGAGATAACGAAACATTTATTAAACATGCAGGATAAAGGAATACATTTTCGCCATGCCTTTGCGTTGATTCTATGACAAATGTGTAATAAATAGAGCTGACTTTCCTCGTAAGCAAGTGCTGTTGTTACTAATATCGATATCACGGATGAATACTGTTAGTTGAACGTTATCGTAGTACTCCACTGAAAAGGTCAACTTTATTTATGTACTTCCTGTTATACACACGGCTCATGTTGATCTGACTTTATCAATGTTTAGTTCTAGCGCTACTTTTGCATGCATGAGTAGGACGGCACATTTCAAAGTTACAGTTTTGAAATTACTTATTAAGGCTACATGTATAAGTTGTTTCCATTACGTCTGTTGGTCAGTTCAGACTAATACAACTACGAACTTTATTTCATTTGTGACAAAATATAATGATTTTGTGTTTGGAATTGTGGAAGTATGTAGCAGCCCATTGAGTGTGTTTGTTTGTTTTTACCTACTTTAGGGACTTTACATTGTGACTTGTCCACACGATCACTGGAGTCAAGACACATCCGGTTAATAGTTAGACCAGATGATTTTTTGTTGTTGTATTGATCTGTTGCACAAACGTGCTAAAAGTGCCACGATACTCTGGTTTCCCAATAAAGATGAACTCATTGTGGAATTTATGGATAAAATATAGTTTCCCAACAAACAATCCTGGTTGTAAGAGGCGACTAATAACATCGGGTGATTAGACTCTGTTTTGTCTTGGCTTAGCACAGACATTACCCTCCTTTGACGAAACATCCTGTACCGTAAAATCGATTTCACATAAAGACAAATTATTTGTTGTTTTGTTTCTTTCATGAATTGTGATTTATATTTACAGAAAGAAGAGTTATTGCATGTAGTTGAAAACATGCCTCACGTTCCGTGTGTCACGCAGTTATAACCACACCTGTCACATGAATGATAAATTTTCAATTGACAAAATACTTTCCTGAGTATCATTGTGAAATAGTTACACCTAACAATGCAATGTCATACAACAACTACGTAGCATTGTAAATGTCTCAGGAAGCTAAGTGTACATTCAATGATAACATTTACGACCCTGATAGTGATATTACATCCGTGTACCAACAATAGAAAGGGTATCATACCAGCTCATTTTATCACAAAATAAGTGGACAAACCACAGTCAATTGTACGATCCCGACTGTATCAGGAGCATGTGTTTATGAATCACTATGAAATAAATGATACTAGGTGTTCGCGAAAAGGTGAGCATATTATGTCCACCGGTGTCAACCATCACAAAACACATGCAAAGGCAAGTCAAACATTCACCTGACAAAACACGGGAACACAAAATGGAACAAATCAATATAGGTCAATGGAGGCGAAGGTTAAACATTAATCATACGACATAACGCTTCTCATGTAGTCAATTGAATTAATATTTATGTTCTGTTCATAGTGAGTGAGTGAGTGAGTATGGTTTTAAACCCCTTGTAGCAATATTCCAGAAATATCACGTCGGGGCACACCAGAAATGAGCTTCACACATTGTACCCATGTCGGGAATCGAACCCGGGTCTTCGGCGTCAAGAGCGAACGCTTTAACCACTAGGCTACCCGACCGTCCCGTGTGATGATGATAATGTTATTTTGCCTTGGCATATGCGGATCATCCAGCGAAAACTGTGATGTTTTATCATATGTTATTTTGTATGAACCACTTCCCAACGCTGTCAAATATATAGGTAATATGACACTTTCCTGTTCATCCTTTCTTGTGGAGCTTCAATATGTTTAGTACCGTACATTTTAACTTACCAAAGATGTAATCAATACTGTTCACTGTATGTGAATAAACAAGTGACGCTCATGTTCATGAAAAATCCCTGAAAACTAGTGTTGGTGAGGACGGAGAATGTTAATGATATTTATCCAAGTTGTAGTCATAAGGAGAAAACATTATCGTACAGATTCTTTATTGGACAAATAGGGAAACGAAAAAAATAAATATTTACACAAGGTAGGAGGAAAAGAGCAGAGGCGAGTTTAGTGGTTGTGAAGGTTTTTACTTCCGCAACCAGTAATTGAATCGACACCTGCTTTGTGTCACTCTGACCCGAAACGTCACCATGGAAACCACGCATATAAACCACTTGAATCGATAAGGTAATTCAGGTCAGTTACGGGTGTGACGCATGTTTCAGGGAAGGTCAGCCCTGAGTTTGAGAGCATGGTTTGGGTGCTGTTTAGATGACATGAACAAAACACCTCTTTATGGCCTTAAATGTCTAGCGAACAATGGTTGTTATGTAGAGAGGGGTAGGATAACATCATGTGACAAAATCACAAAAGGCTTCCCATGTGAACCTACTTAGACGACGTTATCAAATCTAATCGTCAGGAAAGGAGATACGGGTGGCTCGGTGAACAAAGGCGTATAGGTTTGCTGTGCAGACTGTCATTCCTTAGCCGTGTCATGGATCAGCTGGTCCAAGAGTTGTATACTGATGCGTATGATCCTCCATCTTTCAGTACCATGCCAACCCCAGTCGTCTAAGGTGCCGCGATTCGCTTTGCAGAGTTTCGTCTCGAGCTATGTTTGTGGGTTCGAATCTCGGTTCGCCCCGATTATGTTTCTAGGTTTGTCAAAACCATACCCGTGCTAGTGGGTTTCACCGAAGTGGTAAACGTCTGAGACCTGCATCACTTCGGGCTTTCCTCCCACATTAAGCTGGTATGCCGTGATATAACTCAAATGCTGTTAAAATCGGCGTTAAACCCAACTCACTCACTCATTGTGTCTGTGTTTAGTGTAGATAAATACTTATTAATGAATAACGAATAATGTCGCATAAGACAGCCCGATTATACTCTTGCAAAATCTGCTTACGATGGGAAGAATGGTGTCTTTGTACGAAGGCGACTTTTAGTTGAATGTGTTCGCAGGAAGGTGAACCGAGGGGCACTATGAAGTTTCTTCTCGTTTTAATTACTTTTGTTAATTTTAGGGTTATGATTGAGGGACGTTGCATAAACTTGACCACGCTCACCGCTGGTGATAATTATCAAATTTATAAAAGACCGCAACCGTGGTCTAGTGGTAGAGCGTCCGCCCGTAGAGCGGAAGTTCCGAGGTTCGATCCCCGGCTGCGACATACGAGACCAAAAGACGTTAAAAATGGTACTTGTTGTCAACCTGTCTGGCGCTCGGCATTAAGGGGCTAAAACAAGGACTTGTCGGCTCGGAGTCAGTATACTGTGTCTGAGTGGTCCGGACGAGTTCAAACAGCCACACACACACACGTGCATGCACGTCGCTATATAAGTGCAATAATCTTGGACGCGACGTTAAACCCAATTTCACCTCACCTCAAATTTATAAAATGTATTATGCATACAATATATTATTTGCAGATTGTAGTATGTCTTTATTGTAACATATTACAAAGTGATTGCATATGTAAACTGCAAACTCCTAGGGGCTATAAGAACATCCAGGTCCACGTACTGATGGAAATGCAAGGGTTCTCCTCGATTATTTTAGTTCTTTATGGAAAGACGAAGGGTTGTTCGCGTGATTAATACCAACACCATACATTGGACGTACTCATAGCGCAGCTTATCTTTATCGGACAGTCGCAAACCCCCCTGCTTTAGTGTGTTATACAGTGCAGTTGCAATACAAAGACCCCGTTCCTGCATATGGCGACTGCACTGCTCTCACATACTGCAGGCGTATTGAACGCCCCCACGGTTTACATTCATGAAGAGGAATCCATGATCTAAACCCCTTCTATATACCCGTGGTAGCTTTTGTCAAACTAAAGCAGTGACTTTATTAGAAATACAATGATTAAGGCTCACAAATCAATTAGGTCTGAATTACATGAACTCTCAGTAGAAATATTTTACCACCTGTTATCGACCTAACTGCAGCGTGCAGCCGTCTTTTAAGTGGATGAAAGGATGGATGGTCGCCTTCCAGAATCAAAATCAATGAATAAGCTATACTGTATGCATCTGATCAATGAAATAAAAGTGATAAAAACATTTCCTTGATAATATAAACAATATTTGCTGCGATTTTTTCCTGCATACTCTAGATTAACGCAACCCATATAAATATATATTTATATTAATTATATGTACATGCAGGCAGATTTACAAAGATATTATTGTACGAGCATGTGCGGCATATTGAATTTTAGAAATGAGTGTCAGAATTCTTGTATTTCCCGAGCGATAGCGTGAATTGTTACACGAGTTGCGTCAAATCTGTGACCATCATATGAGGGTAATATTTTCTGTTCACCCATTATTTCGTAACAAGTTTTGATAGTTAGTTCCCCTTTACAAAAATCAACTGATCACGACCGTCGTCTTAGAAAAACAGAAGTGTCAAAGGATATCAACAATCTTCGGCTTTGACGTCATTTCTAGTGTGACATCATGTAATTTGTAACTCTATGGATGATAAATGTCAGTATTACGAAAACAGTATCTATCATAGGGTGTATTGCTAGATGTTGGAAGAGAGCCCAAGGTAATGAAGGTTATGGACGCTTACAACTTTGATGAACCAATAACCTTTAGAAATCTGAATCGAACCCTTGACTTTTCTGGCATGAAAACACATAACGCTATTCGTACATCCCTGCTTCTCTATGCGTCTGTGAAAGCGCAGAACGTGAGGTTTACGTGAGGTCATGGTAACCCGATGCTGACGATACTGAAGTAATCCTCTCTGGCAAGTACAGACGGAAATTAAAGACATATCTGCAGATCTCAGAAACAGTACAAACACTAAGTATAACTCTGAAATGTGAATTCATAAGGCTG